AACTAATCGAGACGCGTAAGGTCAGCCATTTGTTTTGGAAAGCTATTTCAGCAGCTTCTAGCAGGGTTTAAAATTTTTAAATCATGGTGCACGACTCAAGACTGTAGATAAGCATGCGGATAAAGATCGATTTGAATACCGAGACATCAGTTTTCAGACTCAGCTCCCCGTTAGCCTAAATGAGTCGGGCTAGCTCACGCCGAACGCTAATGGCTATTCCTATTCGCCGGCCAAACTCTTCCTCAAATTTTCCATCACTAGTGAATGCGACACCGCGGTGCTTGAACTTCTCCACCTACTCCACTGGCTCTCTGTTAACCTGAAGAAGGCAACGGTCAAGAGCGAGAATGCACTGGGCTTTTCCTTTCAGATGCTTTCGCACGCATGCCGGCCACGTCGCACTCGGCTGAAAACCTTTCCAGAGAGGAATGTAGATCAGTTTCAGAAGATGCCAATAAAACATTGACATCTGCAACCAACAGCCATTTCGTCTCCACATCTCCTACACCGAGACAATCATCGCCTTTGCTGTTCCTGATTATTCTATCCATGTATAACACAAAGAGGACAGGGGACAAGACGCAGTCTCGGCAGAGACCAATGTAAACGCTGAAAAGATTCAACTTAACGCCATTTACTCTGACGCAGCACCTGATATCAGAATACGGTGAATGGGTGGCCTGTGGCTGCTGATCATCTACGCCATATGTACGAAAACATGACAACAAGCTATTGCGCGGGATCCAGTCATAGACTTTTACGAGGTCATCAGAGTACGAGTACACCGGATGGGCGAACTACCACGATTTCTCAATAACGTTTCGAACGGCAAATATATGGTCTAAGGTACTTCGAAACAGCCAAAAGCCAAGCTGCATTTCTTGCATCTCAATGTCAGATATTCCGCGACACCTTTTTTCAAACACTTTGTGTAGACGGTACCTCGGAGACTTAACACGGTAATGTCTCTGTAACTGGAGCATCCCCTATGATCTTGAGCAGGCTTACAAAAACCTCCGTTCTCCATTCAGCTTGTATTATCCCTATAGCCATTGCAATTTGATAGTCACGTGTAAGCCAGCACCTGCCTTGTTCGCCCAATGCTTTGAACATTTCAGGGCAGATTTCATCAATTCCAGCAGCCTTTATACTTTTCAAGCATTTCACAGCTTATGTAATTTTCATCGACAGAGGTAGTTATATCCGTAACCTGCTGCTCTACTGGTGAGTATTCCTGCAGTGTTAAGAAGTTCTACAAAGTACTCTATCTATCGACGAATAATGTCCCTATTCGCGGAAAAAGGGTGTCCAGACCTGTCTTTCATGATTACTAGACTGCCCTTCTTCTCACCTGGGAGCTGGCGAATGGTTTGCCCGATTGCTTTGTTTGCCAGTTGGAAATTCGATTTTTTCATGAACTTTTCCCGTGAATCAGCTTTAGCTTCGCCACTGCTTTCGCTGCCGCATTGCGTGTTTCGGCATAACACATGCGAGTAAAAGACATCGGAGCAATTTCTTGAATGCATCTTTCTTCTCTTTAATTGCCAGTTGTACCACTCATGTCAACCAAGAAAATCTTTTCTGACCTCCAGATGGCAATCCAAACCGTTTAAATCTGAAGGATTCGGTTGCATTCTCGAGTATGCCGCTATTAAAGAACTGTCACTCGGTTTTCACTTCAGTGGTCATCGCCGAGATATGCTCGAACAGTCGTGCGATGTTGTTTACAAATTTCGCTCTAGTGTTTACCGAAGATGATGTTCGCCATTGAATGCTCTGGTTGCTTCTGCTACCAAATCTTCGTATGCTACTCCATTTGTTAAAGCGTAGCGTGCCATCAACAAGGTCTTGATCGGCTGAATAGCTTTGCGCGCCTCTCTTAACGCAAACATCCACTTCAAAGGATATGATTAACAAATAGATAATCGATTTGTATGCACAAGCTTCTATGTACCAGTTATACTGATGCACCCTTCATTGCTCGGAGAAGGTGTTCATAATGGACAGTGCTTTTTTGCACTAAACCGCAACAACTTCACGCTGTTACTGCTGAGATCGCTTGGTCTGTTGTCTCCAACCATGTCTTTCCACTCTTCAGCATGTTCTCTGACAGGCGCAATAAAATCGCCGATGAGTATGAAGGACTTTGTACTCGGCATTTCGAACAAAGCGTAACTTCCACTGCTTCGAAGAAGGACTCATATTACACCTCAAAATCGTTCGCGCAGTCTGTAAGAGGGTCAACGATTTAAGCTGTCGTAGCTTCAGTCGGAGATTGCCACCCTTCCGCTGACAGGCTTCGAATAAACGATTCTATCAGTTACGTTGGGTTCTACGAAAACACGTACACTGGCCTGAGTGCGCGTCGTGATATCGTCATTTGAGTTGAATAGCTTCAACCCCCAAAAGTTCAGGATTCTATAGTCTTGGCGTTTCGTTGACGAAAGTCCAACTATACCGAGTTATCACTTTACGGCCTCTTCAACTGACTCTTGCTCTTTCCCTTTGAGTGAGGATATATTCCAGTTTCCGACTGTAAGGACCCATTGGCAGCGTTTTTCTCGTAGAGCATTTTTTGACGTGCTATAATGTTCTCGCGCTGTCTGTCTCTTCATTTCAGAACGGGTAGCGGCTCTATTGTTGACTGGTATCGTCGTCGTCGTTCGGTCGATCTTCGTCAGCCATTGTTGTGGTGCTACGCCCCCACTTGGCGGAGGGCAACGAGAAAATCTTGAGCGCCGACTTTTCACTGCATAGTTCAGTCTCCCAACAGCCTCCGCGATCCACATTTGGCAAAGGGCGACGACCGATCCGGTAGAATTTTCGATTACATCAGTACCATAAAGGAAAATTTGCTAAGTTTGACGGAGATTTCGCCACTTTATCGAACCCTCCTTTTTTCTCAACCGGGCATAGGGACCGGCAACGTCTGAGT